AATACAGTTTGTGTTCATAGCAAACGCTTCTCCACATTCTCTTGCGGTAACAGTCTAGCTCTGTACAATTGCCTCAATAATTCTGCAATATTATATGCTGACGTACTCACATGCACACTTCTTAATTTCACCCAAACCTCCTTTGCAGTTTTTAAATCAGCTACATTCAAGAATTGTTCACCTTCTAAACTTAAGATGATGTAGGGCAGTGCCTTATCATGCTGCCTTTGATCTGCTGCTGCTAATGTTGCCTGGAGTGGATTAATAACAATATCCCAAAGCTGCTTAGCCTTCAGGAAGCATTCCAATTTTGCAGCCCAAATAATATAATTCTTCTGCCCCAATCGAGGCAGAGTTCTCCTTGAAATCAACAGCCAGTCTGCAAGCTTTCTCAGCCTTCTTCTCTTTTACTTATAACACGGGGTGTCCTTCAGCTTAATTATAGTTCAGTCTTACTGTGTGCTTGGTGTGCTCTGGGCCCATAACCTGTTAGTTTGCAGCAATCCAACCAACACACAATCAGCAGGATTCATTTATATAAGAAACTTCATTATATACAATAATATAAAGCATGATGCATGTATACAATACCCATGCAGCAGAAGCCAGAACCAGAACTCAGAAGCCAGAAACACAGAAGCTATATATACAGAGGCTATATTGCAAGGACAAAGCAATTCTTATATACAAATCAGTCAAGCTAAGCCACGCCCAGGCTCTGAACTGTCTATGTCACCAAACAATTCCCATTGGCTGACCTATTACCATGTCTATTCCAATTCATGAACTCTTATACACTGACAAATTGGCTGACGGAACAACGGAAGCGTAGAACCAACTTCTAACGCCCGTCACGGCTCAATCCTCCCTGAGCTTAAAACTCACTCGGGATAAATGATGATCATCTGACAAAAAGGGGGGGGAAATTATAAATAATGAAATAAGCTAAAAAAGAAAACGACGAATCAAAATGATGGACCATTAGAGTCTTTTGCCGTTGGTTTTCTCTGTTTCTTCCATTTGGGGAGTGGGCTTTCAGGGAATGATTGATAGAGGAGGGGGTCTTGGGAACCTCCTGGCTCATTACCAGAAAATCCAGCTCCCCATGTCTCCGCTGTGGATGATGGGTGATGTCTTCCCACCGGATTTTCTTTACAAAAATTAGCGCATCAGTCATTCCAGGCCCTATGGTCACCCCAAAAGGGTTTCTCCTGTTCAAAGCTGTCAAGAATTACATCAAAGTTTGCCCCCCCCCCAAAAGAAATTGGGGTAGGGATGCTCTGTTTTAGGAAAATAAATGAAAGAAAATTGGAAAAAACAAAAAGAAAAGAAAAATTAACAGCCACCCCAATGCTTATATCTTCAGGAACCCTCAAGGCATCTATCAGTTCAAGGGAAGAATTCAACAGCAGCTCAAATGTGGTCAGTTAACATCACGGGGACATACTGAGGACTAGAAACTTGATTGTGTCTGCCTGGATAGATGTCTACCCAACAGAAGTGGAAGTGGTGCAGTGGAATCTTTGTGGCAAATGATAGCCCCAGGATTGTACCCAAAACCATCTTGCAAAACACATTCTTTAATTTCTTAGATAATTTATTATATATATTTATATATATATTTAATCTCAACTTTATTACTTTACAAGGAACTCAAAGGTGATGGATATACATAACATTCCTTCCTCCTCCTATTTCCCTCACAACAACAACCCTGTGAGGTGGGTCAGGCTGAGAGAGAGGAAGTGGCCAATGTTACCTCCCCTCAGCTGGCTTGTGGGCCTGGGGTAGGACTCGAACTCACAGCTACCTGGTGATTGACCCAAAGTGCCCAGCCAGCTTTCATGCCTCAAGTGAAACTAGAACTCATAATCTCCTGGTGATTGGTTCAAAGATATCCAGTTAAAGCAGGATTAGAACTCACCGTCGTCCGGTGATTGGCCCGAAGTCACGCAGATCGCTTTCCTGCCCTTCAGGGAACTAGAACTCCCAACTTCCTGCATTCTAGGCTAGGATCCTAGGGGTGGGTTCCGGCAGACACTACTGCTGGTTTGCTTGTCTGTATGCCGTGTGCAGTGCTATTAAAATTGCTTTGTGCATGCGCAGAACTGAAAAACAAGATGGCGGCACCTACAGCACTGAGAGGGGAACCGGTTCAGGGGCGTGGCAGGCCTGAGTCACTGTTGGTTCCAGCGACCCAGGTCACCAAACCACTACTAGTTTGGCCAAATTGGTGGAATGCACCAGTGCCCTAGCTTGGCACCCAGCAGTCCCTCCTCCCATTTCCTTTTCTTTTGAGACTTCTGTGCTGCCCAATTTCAAAAAGCTCAATTTAGCCTCACAACTAGAAGCTGAAAGCAAAATAGATTAAAACATCCAAAACCAAACCAGGAATATCCTTCGACCCTGAATTTTCCCAGACCAGCCAATGCCAGCCAACCTAAAAGAGTTTCAACTCGTACAGTGCTAACGTTCCAAGGCTTCCCTGAGGCCATCTAGTCCAACCTCATCTGCTCTAACCTGAAACATCTCCACCGGGATGCTAAAATGATTCTCCCCAAAGGCTGCCTCCCATCCCCAACAAAAATTGTGACTATGGAGGTTCTCGGTTCCACACTTCTATCTGGGGTTAGACAATAGTTTTCAATCTTGGCTGCTTTAAGATGGGTCCATAATTCCCCAGCCAGCATGATTTAAGAAGGATAGACTTCAATTCCCAGAATCCCCCAAGCAGTGTGTTTTAAGAGGGATGGACTTTAAATCCGCTTGCTGGCTGGGGGATTCTGGGAGTTGAAGCCCACCTCTCTTAAAATGGCTGACCTTGAGAAACACCTGTTTGACTCCTCCTTCTCCTGTGCCCTTGATCTGCTCACATGGAAAGGGTCTTGACGGGGGGGAATGGACGTCGGGGAGAGTTTGGAGACCCAGGCTCCAATTCTGCCAATTATCTTGTAGGATCTCCTACACAGCAGTGGAAGGGAGTGGGACAAGATGCAACCGCCCTCCACCCAATTGTTAACCCCCCCCTCCCCGCCCTTGCAAAGAAGCTATGGAAAAGCAGTCAGAGGGTTCACTTAGCCCGGGTGTCGGCAACCCATGGCTCCAGAGCCATATGCAGCTCTTGTGCCCTCTGCTGCGGCTCCCTGTCCCATCACTGGCTGGCCCCACCCTTTGCCCTCCCATCCCTTGCCTGGCCTGAGAAGACAGTGGAGGATGGAAAAGTGGCCAGTGCTGATTCTCTGGTATCTCACTCTTATGGAGCTTCTTCCTGCCCTTGTTGGTGCTGGGCATGCCCCGGTCGCTTGGGGAGACACGCAACCTGCTCTCTGCCCCAAGACATTGGCCTGGCCCAGCTGCGACCAACGTGACCACGAGGGCTGGTGGGATGGGAATGGGATCCAGGAGGATGGGACAATGGAAAAGGGGATGGGCAAGCAGTGCCCAACCACGGCTTTAAGAGGTTCAGGGCAGTGGGGAAAGGAAGCTGGCCCCGCCAACCCTCGCATGCCCACCCTGGGAAAGCCCTTGCCAAAGACACTTGCCCGTCAGCCAATCTCCCCCTCTCTCTGCATTTCTTCCCTGTCTCTCTGAAAGCCGCGGCTGGGCCAAGCCAGCAAGCTCTCCTTGGGGCACTTCAACACTCCTTTTATTTCTTCTTTTTGGAAATCCGGGCTGGCTGAGGAACAATCATCAGCTGCAGTGGAAGCTGCCCTTTGGGCAACTCTCCTTTTCCTCCTCTCACGACCCCTGGCCAGCTGTGGCAGGGCTGGGAGGATGCACACATGCGGGGAGACACTCCTCAAACGCCAAAGTGCAGCAAATGTGCGGGGAGGGGGCCGCTCTGTAAGGAGAGGCAGGTGACCTCTACTTACAGAGAGAAGGGGGAGAGGGGGGGCTAATAGGGAGAGAGAAGGGGGAGAGAGGAGAGACATACAGAGAAAGGGGAGGAGAGGGAGAAATAGAGAGAAGGGAGAGGGGGGAGAGATACAGAGAGAGTGGGTAGAGGGACACAGAGAGAAATACAAAGAGATACAGAAAGAGGGGAGGAGAGAGGGGGAGAGAGAAATAGAAAGAGAGAGAGGGGGAGAGAGACACAGAGAAATACAGAAAGAGGGGAGGGGAGAGGAGAGAGAGATATAGAGAGAGGGGGAGAGAGGGGGAGGAGGTGAGGGAGACACAGAGAGAGATACAGAGAGATACAGAAAAAGGGGAGGGGAGAGGGGGAGAGAGATACAGAGAGGGGGAGAGAGGAGGTGAGAGAGAGACAGAGAGAGATACAGAAAGGGGGAGGAGAGAGGGGGAGAGGGGGGAGAGATACAGAGAGGGGGAGAGAGGAGGGGAGAGAGACACAGAGAGAGATACAGAGAGATACAGAAAGAGGAGAGGAGAGAGGGTGAGAGAGATACAGAGAGAGGTGGAGAGAAGGCAGGGAGAGAGACACAGACAGAGATACAGAGAGATACAGAAAGGGGAGGGAGAAAGATATAGAGAGAGGGGGAGAGAGGAGGTGAGAGTGACACAGACTGAAATACAGAGATACAGAAAGAGGGGAGGAGAGAGGGGGAGAGAGATACAGAGAGAGGTGGAGAGAAGGCGGGGAGAGAGACACAGAGAGAGATACAAAGAGATACAGATAGAGGGGAGAGGGGGAAAGATACAGAGAAAGGGGGAGAGAGGAGGTGAGAGAGACATAGGGAGAGATACAGAGATACAGAAAGAGGGGGGAGAGAGGGGGAGAGAGATACAGAGAGAGGTGGAGAGAAGGCGGGGAGAGAGACACAGAGAGAGATATAGAGAGATACAGAAAGAGGGGAGAGGGGGAAAGAGATACAGAGAGAAGGGGGAGAGAGGATAGGGGCAGAGAGACACAGAGAGAATGATTTTGTGACTGGGTAGGCGTGGCTAGGGATCATGTGACTGGGTGGGAGTGAGTGACATCGAGTTGGCCATGCCCACCCAGGTTTCGGAGCTCCCAGTGGTTTTTTTTTTCCTGTGGGAAATGGGTCCAAATGGCTCTTTGAGTGTTTAAGGTTGCAGACCCCTGACTTAGCCCACCCACCCCTGCCCAGTGGGAGAGAGGAAAGTCACTTTTTGGGACCCTCCCTTGGCAGTGCCTCATGGATTGTGTTGCTTCTGAGACCCAGGCATCCCCGAAGGGGGTTTGGCTGCCAGGGGAGCACAAGAGGCAGGGGGCTCCTGCCACATCGGACCCCTACCCAAACCCCATGGGGAAGGGGGCTGCCCTCCAAAAAGCAGGTCAACCACCCAACGGTTTCTCCGGAACGGGCCAGGTGGGGGTCTCCTCCGTGGGGCACCAAGGTCAGGTAGGATCGCAAGTTGCGCCTCGGCAAAGCGCAGCGGTCGGGCGCGAGCCGCCTCGAGCACAGCAGCTTTGTCGGCCAAGCGTAGCAGGCGGAATAGCAGTGGTCGTGGCTTGGCGGTTGAATCCTGGCCACAGACTCTCCGGGCGCTCTCAATCTCCAACACTGGCACTCCCGGCGGCCAGCCCAACACCTCCGGAAGGGTCCGTCGGAGGAAAGACACTGCATCGCTTCCTTCGATTCCCTCGGGCAAACCCAAGAGGCGTAGGTTGAGACGGCGGGAGCGGGTCTCCAGAACCCGGCAACGGCTCTCCAGGCGCCGTGTATACTTCGCCAGGCGCCGGTTCTCCAGGTGTAGCGCAGCCAGCTCCAGCGCCCAGCCCCGTGCCTCCTGCTCCAGCCGCCAGACGTGGCTCTGAAGACCGGACAGGTCCCGGCAGAGGCTACTCACGTCAGTGGCCAGGCGGCCCAGCTGTTTGGAGAGGAGGGGCTGCGTGACCCCCGACTCAGCCCCCTGGGTGCAGTGGCAGAGTCGGGCCGCTTCGGGTTGCCTCTTCTTTGCCTCTGTTCCTGGATTTGGAGCCGGGAGGCTTCCCTTGTCTCTGGCTGCGAAAGGAAAGGGAAGAGCCGAGGTGGCGCAGTGGTTAGGGTGCAGTACTGCAGGCCACTTCAGCTGACTGCTATCTGCAGTTCGGCTGTTCAAATCTCACCAGCTCAAGGTTGACTCAGCCTTCCATCCTTCCGAGGTGGGTGAAATGAGGACCCAGACTGTGGGGGCGATATGCTGACTCTGTAAACCGCTTAGAGAGGGCTGAACGCCCTATGAAGCGGTATATAAGTCTAGCTGCTATTGCTATTGCTAAGAGAATCAGTGTGAGACCCTCCCCTTCTCTCTAGTGAGACTTCATCGATCAATCAATCAATCAATCAATTGCAATAGAGTTGGAAGAGACTTCGGAGGTCTTCTAGCCCAACCCCCTGCTCAAGTAGGAGACCTTTAAAACAGGGATGAAAGGGGCCTCGAAGGTCATCTAGTCCAACCCCCTGCTCAAGCAGGAAGCCCTTACCGAATCACAAAGTTGGGAGGGACCTTTGAGGTCTTCTAGTCCAACCCCCTCCTCAAGCAAGAGACCTTATGCCAGTTCAGACAAGCGGCTGTCCAGTCTTTTCTTTAAAAACTGATGGGGCACCCAGAACATCTGTCGTCAAGCAGCTCCATTGATTAATTGTTCTCACTTTTAAGGAGTTTCCTGTTAATTCCAGGTTGCTCCTCTCCCGAATTAGTTTCCATCCATTGTTTCTTGTCCTACCTCCTGGTACTTTGAAGAATAGGTGGAGCCCTCTTCTTTGGGGCAGCCCTCAAACACTGGGATGCTGCTCTCCTGTCTCCCCTACTCCTTCTCTTCTCTAGATTGGCCAAACCCAAATCCTGCAACAATTCTTCCTATGTTTTGGTCTCCAGGCCTTTAATCATCTCAGTTGCTCTTCTCTGCCCTTTTTTTTCCAAAATCTCAACCTCTTTTTTGTAATGTGGGGACCAAAACTGGATGCAGTTATTCCAGGTGTGGCCTTACTAAGGATTTATAAAGCTAACACTTCACCTGATTTTGATTCTATGCCTCTGTTTATTCAACCAAGGATTGTGTTAGCTTTTTCGGCTGCCGCTGCACACAGCTGGCTCATGTTTAAGGGATCGTCCACTAGGAGTCCAAGGTCCCTCTTGCAGTTTCAGTTTTGGAGTCAAGATTTGAGCTGGAATCCCCCAACTGGACGTCCCTCTCAGCCCACCATATTAGTGGCCCAGAAGTCTCACCTGACAATCCAGGGGTTCCCATCCTGAACCTCTGTTTCTCCCTCCAAAAGAGGCAATCTTACAAGTGCAAAATGCCATTTCTCTCCCAATTTCCCACCCACCCACCCTCCCCACTTCTCCCAGGCAGGTGGCAGGGTTTCAGCTTTGCCAGGGACTCCAACCCACACCCCCCGCTTCCTAGTTTTTATTCAGTCTCTACCCTCCTCACCTGTCGCAGAGGTTCTTCTGGCACCCATCCGAAATGAAACCAAAGGACTCCACCTGGGAGGGTCGTTCTGCGTATGTGCAGAGGTCCTGGTGTTCGGAGAACAGGAGTGGCTCTTCACTTGGGTCTCCTGTGTTTCCATGTCAGAGATGGGAGAGGTGGAGGGGACAGCACCTATAGAGAAACCAAGAAACTCAGTCTAGTTAGATGGTGGGATTTAATAGGGGTGGACTTCAACTCCCAGACTCCCCCGTGTTTTAAGAGGGATGGACTTGGGTACTTGAGAGACCGCCTGCTGCCAATTACCTCCACTAGACCGATTAGATCCCACAGATTAGGCCTCCTCCGAATTCCATCCGCCAGCCAGTGCCGACTGGCAACTACCCGGAGGAGAGCCTTCTCTGTGGCTGCTCCAACCCTCTGGAACGAACTCCCCGTGGAGATTCGAACCCTCACCACCCTCCAGGCCTTCCGCAAAGCCCTCAAAACCTGGCTGTTCCAACAGGCCTGGGGCTAAAGAGCTGTTGCCCCCATCTCGAATGGTATGACTGTTGTGAGTTTTAAATTGTATATTGTTATGTTTGTTTTTTTTAATTTTTTGTCTGTATCCCCCCCTTCCCCGGTTCGAGTTGTGAGCCGCCCTGAGTCCCCCTTCGGGGGAAAAGGGCAGCATACAAATACAATAAACTGAACTGAACTGGACTGGACTTCGACTCCCAGAATCCCCCAGCCGGTATGCTTTAAGAGGGGTGAACTTCAACTCCCAGAATTCCCCATGTTTTAAGAGAGGTGGACTTCAACTCCCAGAATCCCCCAGCTGGTATGCTTTAAGGGGGTGGACTCTGTTATGTATTGTATATAGTGTGTAGTTGTCAGTTGAAGTCCTCATTTTGGTCCCCTGTTGGAGCGGGAAAATACTCTGTCCTGATTGGTTGTTTGGAGGATCAGTTTCCTATAAAAGGAGCAGTGTCAGCCAGGGAGTTCAGCTGCCTCACAGGCAGTATATTGAATAAAGAGCTGTTAGGAATCACTCTGGCCTCACCTCCATTCTTCACCTAGAACTTAACATTGGCGACGAGGATGGGATTGAATGCAAGCTGAGCCTGCAAAGAGCTGATCACTGTGAGCTGATCCACTCAGAGAGAAATCACTGGAGCTGATCCACAGTGGCTGCCACTTCATTGACCATAAATTCCTCAGTCCACACCGATCACTTGCAAAATAGCTGCACTACTGCCTTTTGCTCCATACAAGCCAGACTCTGAGACATGGGACTCCCTACTTTGCTCGTTTTGATGGCTTCCTCAAAGCCAATGATTTTTCTGAGATCACGGACAACAGGAAAAGGGCACTTTTCCTAAACTTCTGCAGCCCAGAGATCTTTGAGATGTCCAGGGCTCTCCTCGCTCCACTAGCCATTCAATCTGCGCCGTGGGATGTGGTGCAGAGCAAGCTATGGACTCACTATGCGCCCAAACCTTCATGAATCGGACGTTGGAATCATCATTGGAATGATGATGATTCTTCTATCCTCGGAATCAGGCTGAAGGTAAATCCATCAACAAATACGCTGCCGCCCTTCGACAGTCAGCCCTGTATTGTGAGTTCAAGGACTTAGATGATGCTCTCTTGGACAGAGTGGTCTGTGGTGTGAGGGACATCAAGATACAACAGCGCCTCCTTGCAAAAACAGACCTCCCCTGCAGATGGCGCTGGACAAGGCACAAGCAGCCGAGATGTCCGATCAGTCAATGGGTGAGATTCAAAAATCAAACAGCCCACCAGCATCACGGAAAACAGTCATTGTGCTCCAAGAAGATGCCATGGTGAATCAGCAGATGCAGAAGATGATGTCTATCATCTCAAATCCACAGAAAAGGCAACCAGCATGTGTTGGTTGTAGCGGCAATCACCCACAAACGGCACGTAAGTTCAAGAAGGCCATCTGTCAAAGATGTGAAATGAAAGGACATTTGGCCAGAGTCTGTTGTGCAAACCAACCAACAGCTACTTTTGCGAGCCCAGAAACTTGCCACAAAAGAATGCAGAAAAGACAACAGTGTGACGGAGAGGACTGCTTCATGATCTCAAGAGGCATCTGCAAGGCAGAGGCAGAAGCAGTCATTGGTCACGCCAACCTCTACTATTGCAATAAGGTCCATGTCACTGTCCTGACTGAGGTGTCCCCTTGCTGCATGGAGGTGGACATGGGATCTTCAAGGACCATTGTCTCTTGGAGTACACTCAAGAGATTGGTGCCAAAAAATCTCAAAAAGACAATTGGACTTCCACCATATTCATCCCCGAAACTATCAGGGGAACAGCATTCCTGTTCAGAACTGGCACCTTTAGAGTATCTTCTCAGGCCCACTGCGACTACTCGTAGTGGACGACTCCCTACCTAGGTCTCCTAGAACTGGACTGGTTCTCCTCCTTGGGTCTGGGAATCACTGGCATCAACTCCATCAGTGACTCTGATATTGAGGCCTTAATCTCTGATTTTGCAGATGTCTTTGACGGAAACCTGGGCAGATGTACAGGCACACCCATCTCACTGAACCTTGACCCCCAAGTTGCTCAGATCCAAATGAAGCTGCGAAGAGTATCGTTTGCCTTGCGCTCAAAGATTGATGAGCAACTCAACAAGCTCATCAGCCAAGGAATCCTGGAACCTGTCGACCACATAAAATGAGAGACTTTAATTGTGACCCTTGTGAAACTGGATGGTTCTGTCTGCATCTGCGCAGACTATAAATGTACATTAAATAAAGCGGTACAGCAAAATGAATTCCCTGTGCCTGTGGCCTAACATCTCTGGCACTCTCTGGGTGAGAGTAAGGTCTTCATTAAACTTGCCTATCAAAAGCTACCATTTGACAATGCCATAGCTAAGGCTCAGACCATTGTAAGACATCGAGGAGCTTTTAGATGTTGCCGGCTGCAATTTGGAGTGAGCATGGCACCAGAACTTTTCCAAAGCCTGATGGAGCATCTCTTGCAAGGCATCCCAGGGGAAGTCCCCTATTTCAATGATGTCTTCATGTCAGCGGCCAACAATGGTAAAATCCTTGACCGTCTATGAGCAGTACTCACCTATTTTCAGGAAGTTGGCCTCAAAGTTAAAAAAGAAAAGTGCAAGATCACTATTCCACAGGTAGAGTTCCTTGGCTACCTTATCAATGCTTCTGGGTTACACCCTACACAGGCAAAGGTGCAAGCCATCCAGGAAGTTGCCACACCCAATAACAAGCTCGAACTCCAGACATTTTTGGGACTCCTAAATTTCTACAGCATCCTTTTGCCACACAACGTCTGCAGCTGAGCCTTTTCATTGCTTGCTTGACAAGATGCCTTGGTCCCGAAAAGAAGCTGCTTCCTTCTCTGCTGTCAAGAAGCTAATATCTTCAAACAGCATCCTGGTGCAGTACAATGGGAATCTCCCCTTGGTCCTCACCTGCAACACTTCTCCATTCGGCATCGGCGCCATTTCAAGCCACCGATTCGCTAATGGAAGAGAGGCCCCAATCGCTTTTTTCTCATGGACTTTGTCATCAGCTGAACGAAACTACAGCCAGCTGGACAAGGAAG